AAAAAAAAAGTATGATGCAGGATTTGCAGTTTCAGGGAAATAGTACTCTCACATATTGCTGTTGGAAGCATAAATTAACACAACTTTTCTAGAAGGCAATTTATCAATACCCATAAATCCTTCCTAAAGATGTACAACTTAACTTTCAGAAATTATCTCAGGAGAATAATTCAGGGTATCTGCAAAACTTAATCATAAGATTGTGTAGCTTAAAATGCAGCCATGTATACATCACTTGCGAACTATCTGTTCATGTCCTTTGACCATTTTTTCTTGCTTCCTTTCCAATTGTAGCATTCTGTAATATTCCCTCTGCCAACACTGATTATCAAACTGATTTTCAAGTTCTTCCCTTGATATAGAGCCTACTACATGGCCACAGGGACCCAGCTGGTGCCTTTAAATGAAGGAAGCAGACTGGATGGGGACAGGGACAAAACAGACCCATCAAAAGGGCACAACATCTATGCAGCCCTGGTTGAGTGTGGCCACACAGGAATGTGACTCAGGGTAACCAAAATCTAGATGTGGAAACTTCAGATGAAATTGAAGATTTTTAGATGCTGGAAACTAATTTTTTTGAAGTGTTAAACAACTGTATCCCCAAATAAAACACACTTGTAGGCCATCAACTTAAACCTGAAGTCCAGTACTTTCATTTTTATGAATGATCTAACAGGATGTGGTAGCAACGCAGACAGATTTCTTGGATCTTGTGTTTCAAGGAGCATAATTGACCAACGGCCCCAGCTGTTGCCTTTCCAGATCCTTCTGTAAGCTCAGAGTGGGGCCACACTTCCCCCAGGCTGCTCCCAGCCAATGACTGTGTGCAGGGAACAATAAAGACTCCCTCTTTGTAAACTTGACCCAAGGACTCCCCATCAGGCTGAACTGAACTTCCACAGGACTGTGCCAACAGCCCGAGACACTTCCTACCCAATCACCCTTCCTTCCTCCCTCTTTCAGAAGCATCAGACCAGTCATTCTCTGAAGGTTCTCCCATGTTCTCCTGCTGCTTCCCTCTGCCCCCACAGTCATTTCCTACAGTCAGTCATTGCACATCTAACCCCTGCCTCTCAGAGAACCAACTAACCCATCAGGCAAGAGGTAAAATCACTTGTCTAAGGTCACAAGACTAATTGTTGACTACACAAAATTAAAACCCTTACTTGCCAGAATTCCTGTTTTAGTCAAGAATAACTAATATTTCATTCAAACCAATAGAAGAATAGGAAAAGAAGTAGGTTGAGATGGGTAAGAAAAGGTCATGAATTCCAGGAGGTGATATAATGGTAATTTTGTTTTTTATGTGTCACAGTGGTCTAGACATAAGTAAAAATAATGAGGCAGTGCTGACTGACTCCAAACAATGTCCTTTGCAACTGAAAACAGGCATTTATATAAAGAATTGAATATCATTTCTACAGGCCAAAAAGAGGAACTATATCTTTCTGGCTATTGGCTTAAGGAAGACCAATAGATACAGAAATTATATTTGACAAAATCTAACATCCATTCCTGATTTGTAAAAAAGTAAAACTCAACAAACGAGGAAAAAAAAGAAACTTCCTCACTCGCATAAAAAACATCTATGAAAAACCTACAGCTAACACCATACTTAACGATAAAAGACCAAACGCCTTCCCCACTAAGGTTAGAAATAAGACAAGAATATGTACTCTCTCTCTTTTTTTAATCTCAGAATATTAAGGGGGTCACAAACATTTTGGTTACATAAATTAAAGAATATCTACTCTCACTGTTTCCAATCAATATTGTACTGGAGGTTTTAGCCAGTACAATAAGACAAAGAAAAAGGTATGGCATATAGTTTGGAAAAGAATACGTAAAATTTCTTTTACTTACAGATGACATGTTCATATATGTAGAATATCCTCTACTATCTACCAAAATAAAACTAATAAATAAGTTTAGCAAGGAGGTTAGATACCAGATCAATATATAAATCAATTATATGTCTATATATTAGCCATGAACAGTCAGAAATTAAAATGCAAAAAATAATAACATCTACAATAACATCAAAAGATATGAAACACTTAGGTGTAAATCTGACAGAAGCTTTGAAAGAGAGGTATACTGAAAACTATAAAACATTACTGAGAAAGACCTAACCTGGTGGAAAGATATAATATGTTCATTATTTGAAAACCTAATATGGTTAACATGTCAATTCTCCCAGCTAGATATATAAATTCTATGCAATTCCAATCAAAATCTCACTAGAACTTTTTTTAGAAATTGGTAAACTGATTCTGACATTCATATGAAAGTGCAAAGAATCTAGAATAGCCAAAACAACTTTGAAAGAGATGACCAATTTGGAGGACTACCAGCTGCTTTTAAGATTTATTATAACGCTTATTCGAGATTTTTCTTTTCTGCTTTTCGTTAGTCTAGGCATTCATGTGTCAATTTTGTTTATTTTTTCAAAGAACCAACTTTTTGTTTTATTAATCTTCCGTATAGTTTCCCTGTTGTCAATTTTGTTTAGTTCTGATTTGATCTTAATGATTTCACTTCTTCTGCTGGGTTTGGGGTTGGTCTGTTCTTCTTTTTCCAGCTCTTTGAGATGATTCATTAGGTTGTCTACTTATGATCTTTTCAACTTTTGGATATAGGCATTTATGGAAATAAACTTTCCTCTCAGGACTGCTTTAGCTGCATCCCACAGGTTTTGGTAACTTGTGTCACCTTTGTCATTTAGTTCAAAAAATCTTTTGACTTCCATCTTGATTTCCTCATTTATGAAGTGATCATTCAGCAGAAGGTTGTTTAGTTTCCATGACTTCATGTAGAAATGAGGATTCCTGTTAGGATCGATTTCTACATTTATTCCATTGTGGTCTGAAAAGATATATGGTATAATTTCTGTATTTTTAAATTGTTTGAGACATGCTTTGTGTCCTAGGATATGGTCAATCTTAGAGAATGACCCATGAGCTGATGAGAAGAACATATATTCAGTGGTTTTGGGGTAGAATGTCCTGTGAATGTCACTCAGGCCCATTTATTCTAGGGTTCTGTTTAAGTCCATTATTTCTTTGTTGATTTTCTGTTTGGAGGATCTGTCTTGTGCTGTCAGTGGGGTGTTAAAGTCTCCAACTATTATGGTGTTGTTGTTTATCCATTTGTTTAGATCCAGTAGAGTTTGATTTATGATCAAAAGTCACTTTATGAAAAAGACACCTGCACTCGAATGTTTATAGCAGCACAATTCACAATTGCAAAGCTGTGGAAACAACCCAAGTGCCCATCAATTCATGAGTGGATTAATAAAATGTGGTATATGTATACCATGGAGTACTACTCAGCTTTAAGAAACAATAGTGATATAGCACCTCTTGTATATTCCTGGATAGAGCTGGAACCCATTCTACTAAGTGAAGTAGCTCAAGAATGGAAAAACAAGCACCACATGTACTCACCAGCAAATTGGTATTAACAGATCAACACCTAAGTGGACATATAGGAGTAACATTTATCAGGTGTCAGGAGGGTGGGAGGGGAGAGGAAGGGACAGGTATAAACAACCACAACGAGTAAGATGTGCAATGTTTGGGGCATGGACACGCTTGAAGCTTTTACTCGAGGAGGGAGGGGAGCATGAGCAATATATGTAACCTTAACACTTGTACACCCACAATACGCTAAAATAAAAATAAAGAAAGAAAGAAAAAAAAGATTTATTATAAAGCTATTGTAATCAAGACAATGAGACAATGTAGCATTGACATTAAGACCAATAAATAGATCAATGGGACAGAAGAGAGAATCCAGAAACAGACCTTCACATATATAAACAATTGCGCTTTTTTTCAAAAATGCAAAGATAATTTGGTGGAGAAACAATAGCCTTTCAACAAATAGTTCTGAAACAATCTGATATGCATATGCAAAAAAAATGAACCTATCTCATATTATATAAAAAATTAACTCAAAATGGATCATAGACTTAAAAACAAAACATAAGACTATAAAACTTCTAGAAGGAAACATAGGAGAAAAACTTTGTAAGTTTGGGTTAGGCAAAAATTTTTTAGTTACAACACAAAAGCACAATTTATAAAAGAACAAAGTGTTAAATTAAATTTCATCAAAATTTCAAACTCTACTCTTTGAAATACATTGTTGAGAGAATGAAAAAACAATTCACATACTGACATAAAATATATGTAAATCATATATCTGATAAAAGACTTACATCCAAAACACATGCCAACAGATAATTATAATACTTTAACTCTTAATAGGTATTGAGATTTTTTTAGGGACAGACACTGTGCTAAATGTTTTACATGTTCTTGGTATTTAATCCTCACAACTCTGTGCATTAGGAAATACTAGCCATGCATTGCAAAGGGGAAAATTAAGTCTTAGAAAAGTTGGCATGGGTTATTTCATTTAGTCCTTCACAATAACTCAGGATAGGCTAGGCTTTGCAATAGCTAAAACCCACGAAACTCACTGACATCACAAAAAACAAAAAGTTTGTTTCCCATTCAAACAGAGTCAGCAGTGGATTTAAGTGACTCTTCAAGGCCACCATCCTCCACATAGGGACTAAGAGATCCAGGCACCGTCTGGAACATGAAGCCTCAAAAGACATGGCAAGCAGGAGAGAGAGCTGGAGGTCTTCACACTAGCAATTCAATGCTTTGGCTGAAAAATTACACATGTCACTTCCCCCCACCATGCACTGGCCAGAATTAGTCACACGGACCCACTTAACTGCAAGGAGGGAAATATCATTTGTCTGTGTGCCCTGAAAAAAAAGAAAGCTGAAAGTGGTGAACATCAGACATTACCCCAACAGGTAATATTTAAGTTGTTTTTTATGTCACAGTTTAGAAAAATTGACAGAAATTGCTTTCTTCCCCAACTAAAATGTTCTTACAGATATATACAATGGTCTTTATAACTTTTTTCTGACACTGTTATTCATCATCTTAAAGTAGCATTTGCCAGCAAAGACTCACGTTTCCAGGGTTTGGAGTATCATACTCATGTTCTTAATTGACAGGGCCTGAAGATAATTGGTAAAAAATTTAAGTCATGTTAAGCTTCAAAAGGAAACGAGAGAATAATGACTGTCATTATTAATGTATTGGGCTCTTATAAAAATGTAAATTAGCCCACACTTCTATCATCACCAGACTCACTACAGGCAACGAGAAGTAAAACACAAGATTACAGATACAGTCACCCATTGAACAGCTGTAGGTCTTTCTAGTATAAAAATCAACTAAGATGGCGTGGATGCGGAGAGATAGGAACACTCCTACACTGCTGGTGGGACTGCAAATTAGTTCAACCTCTGTGGAAAGAAATATGGAGATACCTTAAAGCGATACAAGTAGATCTACCATTTGATCCAGCAATTCCACTACTGGGCATCTACCCAAAAGATCAGAAGTCACTTTATGAAAAAGACACCTGCACTCGAATGTTTATAGCAGCACAATTCACAATTGCAAAGCTGTGGAAACAACCCAAGTGCCCATCAATTCATGAGTAGATTAATAAAATGTGGTATATGTATACCATGGAGTACTACTCAGCTTTAAGAAACAATGGTGATATAGCACCTCTTGTATATTCCTGGATAGAGCTGGAACCCATTCTACTAAGTGAAGTATCTCAAGAATGGAAAAACAAGCACAACATGGGCCAGGAGTGGTGGCTTATGCCTGTAATCCTAGCACTCTGAGAGGCTAAGGTGGGTGGATCGCTCAAGGTCAGAAGTTCAAAACCAGCCTGAGCAAGAGCGAGACCCTGTCTCTACAATAAATAGAAAGAAATTCATTGGCCAACTAAAAATACATAGAAAAAATTAGCCAGGCATGGTGGCGCATGCCTATAGTCCCAACTACTCGGGAAGCTGAGGCAGGAGGATTACTTGAGCCCAGGAGTTTGAGGTTGCTGTGAGCTAAGCTGACGCCCTGGTACTCTAGCCTGGGCAACAAAGTGAGACTCTGTCTCAGAAAAATAAAGAAGGAAACAAGCACCACATATACTCACCAGCAAATTGGTATTAATGGATCAACACCTAAGTGGACATATAGGGAAAACATTTATCGGGTGTCGGGCAGGTGGAAGGGGGCAGGAGGGGATGGGTATATACCAACACAATGAGTGAGATGTGCAACGTTCAGAGGATGGTCATGCTTGAAGCTCTGACTCAAGGGAGGAAGGGAGGCATGGGCAATATACGTAACCTTAACATTTGTGCCCCCATAATATGCTAAAATAAAAAAATAAAATAAAAGCATCTGGAAAACCTAAAAAAAAAAATCAACTAAGAGCTAAAGGCATATTCATGGTCAAATAAGTGAAGTAAATAAATTAATTAGGCTTCTATTCTGAAGAATTTTGTCTAAAACCATTAGGTAGCCAATATGCATTATGAATTTCAAAATGAAAACATTATATAGTTTGTCAAGCTTGCTTGATCTTGGAAAAGTCTTGGCATCTTGAGAAACCCTAATGTTGGGTACAACACAGTTCAGGAAACGTTGCCCTGGATAAACTAAAATGAGGTGTTAGTTCTCCTACAGTCTCTCCCTCACACCTACTGAAACACCATCATGGGCTAAGAGCTGAAGCCCCAGCGGGTTTCATGAGGTCACAGCTCCCTCCCTACTGCAGTCTTTTTCCTGATTCCCAGCCAACCATTCCTCTCCCCTCAGGTCTCAGCTGATAGCCAGGCTGGATCATATCTGTCTCCACCTAGGAATTGCCTAGTTGGCTTGTTCCACTCCCGTTGTCAAATACTTGCTCAGAAGTTGCTCAGAAGTATTGCAGTGAGTGCTTCTTTCTGGGCTGAGCCACAGCCCAGCCAAGACTCCTCACAGTGAAGCTTTTAAAGCGATTCCTGGATAAATGTTTAACACCAAGCTGAAGGTTAAAAATAGATGTGCACCACCTGGGAGATGGTCATGATGGAGACTCAGACTTGTGGGGGGAGGGGGGGAAATGGGCATTTATTGAAACCTTAAAATCTGTACCCCCATATGCCGAAATAAAAAAAAATATATGCAAAGCAAAAACTAAAACAATGTCAAGCTAAACCCAAATCCACCACGACAGTTACAGATTTCAATATCTCCCCCTCAATAATAATGGATACAACGAGAAAACAAAAGGTCATTAAAGATATAGAAGAGGTGCTCAACACTACTAACCAACTATCAAGTAGTATCTCTTAAATCTTTCCTATCAGCTAAAAATAATACGAAAATCAAAACGGTGGAGGTGAATGAAGTTCATGAAGTGCACGCACTGCTGAGCCAGGCTGGGACAGCGCTGAGCCTGTCTGTCCAGAGAGCAGCTGCCCCGCAGTGCAGCAGCCACGCCGTGGGGACTCAGTTACCTTGATTCTTTACAAAAGAAAACCGAAAGCCATAGCTCAAGAGTGATTTCTAAAAACATGCTGATTTTAATACTCACCCAGTTTTTCAAAGGGGCCTGAATATATTTCACAATTGCCAGAGTGACCAGCAGACTGACGGGCATGGGGTTGCGGTACAAGATGATGAGCACCAACACGGCACATCCAAGGCTGCGGGATTAGAATCTGTGCAAGAAAATCAGAGGAACCACATCACTGCTTCAGATGGTGACATTCTTCATCTTTGTTATTTCATTAATAAATTTATAAATTTTCCCCATGAAAAAAAAAAATAGAGCGTGCCCATGGATAAATGGACCATCTATGAGACTTATTAACAAGTACACCCCAAACCTCAGATCTATACTCCAAAGCCAACTCACAACTCAGATATCCTATCAAGCTGCTTAGCCAGCTGATTACATATTTCCAGTGGCAGCAGCCTGACAAGCCTAGAGCAGTATTGACAAGAGACATTATCAGAGGAGTTACTCCCACAGAGAATACGTCCCCAGCCATCAGATGATTGGGTCTTATCAGAACCCAAAACTTCTCAGCAGTTTACAATCTCTACTAACCACCACCTATAGACCTAACACTACTTGCCTTTAAATCACCATTGTCAAACAAGTGAATTTGTTAGGACACAACATTTTCAAATTTGAGCATAAACTTTCTAGACAAATTTTGCTATCAAAGAGCATGATGATTAAGGGTCTCCATAACTGCTCCCAAGTGGAAATGGAATTCAGATTTCTTAAGCCACAAATACGAGGCTAAGTCTTTCACCCTGTATGCTCATACCAACATTCACAATGAAAGGCAGAAATACAATATTTGGGTCATAATCTTGTCCAAAGTGGCTACACATCTGAAGACTGGCAGTGTGGACCAGTGTCTCCGTCACTAAACTAACAACCTTCTGTACCTCCATTTTCTAACCTACAAAACAGAGAGCATCAAGTTGCAAAAGAATGTATTAATATATAGTGTGATTGCCCATTACTATAAAATAAATGTATAATATTAGGGGGAAAACTAAAAGAGTGTGTACCAAATTACATGTGAAATATAATTATATACATCTTTTGTGTTAGTATTTTCAAGGGGAAGTTCTAGAAGAATGCGTAACAGTGGTTATCTCTACAGTTGGCTATCTCTGCAATAGCTATCTCTACTTTTACTTTCTTGACCATATGTTTGTTAATTTGCAATGTGTGTGTTTTTCTTTGGTAATCAAGTTAAAATTTTCTAAAAACCAGAAAAAGGGAAATCCATTGTGCCAACTATAAAGCATTAAAAACAGAAAACAAAACTGTTAAAATATGAAAAAAAAACCCAAAGAGCATATCAAGCACTCCAATCACCTCACAAGCTCTACAAAAAAGAATCATACACATGTCTGTCAAGTTTATATACAATTCCCCTGTCCCCAGGAGTTGTCCCCAACACAAAATTTTTATTTGTTTAAAAGCTTTGCTACTGAGGGAAGACAGTGAGAGTTAAAATAGAAGGAAGTTATATAACTAATGGGATTTTTTCCCCCTACCTCTTATCTTACCCAGAAAAATAAAATATTTAATTACTAATCTAACACAGAGACTAAGACATGCGGCTCTAAAAAAACTGCACGTAACGTTTCATTTCTTTACCATTTCACGTGGGGTTAAAGGCCCAGAGACTCTTATCTTCTGGCTGGTGTCTGAGCTGTAGAAAAGAATCTCTATTATCTCCAAAAAGAAAAAAATAAAACAGTTACAAAAATAAAGTCACCATTATAAGAGGGCTGAACAAATAGCCTAGCCAGGTACTGGCCTTTGGCTCTGAATAGAAGGATGCAATGTATATCCCGGAAGTATAAATAACTCCATAGTGCTCAGGCCCTCACTCCCATCACAAATGGTTATTGCTACCCTCCACTCTGCCTACCATGCTCACACCCACACTCGCGCTCACACTTCCTCTTCCAACAGACCTGAGCACACAGCCATTAGGCCAAAAGCATTCAAAATACCATCAAAATCAAGGTTTTTTTTCCCCCCTCGGAGCCCCTTGACATGGCTACATAAGATGTCTTCAATTGAAGCAGAAATGCCTGCAGAGAGCAAAGCCTTCCTATTTGGGTGGTGATAGGTGCAGTATTGAATAAAACAAAACAACAACCCAGGTGGCTCGGCTAATGGAGCCTATATTATACCAAGGGGACTGAGATTACTAAAAGAAAAGTATTATAAAATGCCTCAGGATTAAGCAAGGCTCTAGCTGTTCTATTCTACTAGGAAAACCTCAAAGGAGTTGAACTTCAAAAATTACTCAACAAAAACAAGTGAGGATGAAGGAAGAGAGAGGGGAGGGAGACAGAATTTGATCACAAAAGGGGTCAGAAAGATAGTTGAAAACAGTTGCACAGAGTTAGAGGCACAAAGTCCATTTTCTACCTGTGAATGAAGTACTATCATTACCCATATATATTCAGCAATGCCAGGAAATTAGCCAATATTCTGAAGAATTAGGAAAGGTTGTTCCTTCTTTCATACTCTCTCTTTTTTTTTTGAGACAGGGTCTTGCTCTGCCACCCAGGCTGGAGTGCAGCGGCCTGATCACAGCTCACTATAGACTCGAACTCCTGGACTCAAGTGATCCTCCTGTCCCAGCCCAAAGTGCTGGGATGGCAGGCCTGTGCCACTGCCCTCAGTCCCCTCTATCATGGTGGAAATCGGCAAGCTTATGTAATGTCATAAAATCTTCACTAATTTTTAATCAAAGTGTATTCATAAATGAAGTTTTTTCATGAGCAGTATAGATGCAGTTTCAGTCTGAAAAAGAAAATAGGAATCAGTAATTAAGTCTCTCTTGCCACATAGGTGTGAACTAATGGTGACACATGCATTTTGCATGCCAGCCTCACAGTTCACTTTATACTGTTTTTCTTACCCTCATTTTCTAAGCCCTGAATCCCAATTCCTTTTTCTAATATTGTATTTTGTATTGATATTCTTGACCACATTTAAATTAATTTTTAAAGGCTTAAACCAGACAGCTTATATTTATTAATATGTGTGAGTAAAAATATACAGCTAAATCCCTTCTGGTTAACCTTTGTTATATTCCGGAAGTGTATGGCGAGTGTCCATTCATGACGTCACAGACAAAATCAACAGTTGGGGGACGTTGAACTATAACAGTGGTTCTCAAAGTGTGGCCCTGGACCGGCAACCTCAGCATCACCTGAAGACTTACGACATATGCCAATTCTCAGGTTCCACCCCAGACGTACTACTTTAGTTTTCTATCTCTGCATCTCAGATTACCACAAAACAACATACGTGTGCTGTCTCGGTTTCCATAGACCGGGAGTCATGGCACAGGTTATTGGGTCCTCCACTCAGGGTCTCCTCATACTAAAATCAAGGTGTTACCTGGGGCTATGACCTCACTAGACAAACTGGAGTGCTCTTCCGGGTTCATTGATTATGGGAAAGATTCAGTTCCTTGTGCCTGTAGGACTGAGGCCCACACTGTTTTGCTGGCTGCCAGCTGGGACTATTCTCAGATCCTAGAGGCTGCCTGACATTCCCTGCCATGTGATCTTCTCTATAATATGGTAATTTGTTTCTTTAAGGCCAGCAGGAGATCTCTCTTGCTTCAAATCTGCTAAGAAGCCATAGATAATGTAACATAACTTGATGTAACGATGATGGTCTCATCATCTTTGTCATATAACATAACCTAGTCAAGAAAGTGGCATCTCATCCTGTCCCAGGCCCTGCTCACCCTCAAGGGGAGAGGGTTACACAGGGTGTGTACACTGGGGGATGGGAATCTTGGGGCCATCTCAGAATTCTGCCTGCCACACCTATTGAATCAGAGCAACTGATCCGAGATCCTGCATGACTTCCCCATGCCTCCCAATTCTTCAGCACAGAGAAATTGAAAGACATGGAATAATCTAAGGTTTCTGTCAAATGAGTGTGTACTTAGTGCTTCAAAAGAAACTTATCTCCCCCCCCCAAAAAAAAATATTCAGCCACCTTGAACTTTACAGGTAAATCCTGCTGTATGTGGGAAACAGACTTTCTACCCTGACAGCTGAAAGGCCAGATCAATCAAGGGGATAATTATACAGATCATTTTCCTGGCTCCCACGGGCATAAAGGTTCTAAGGGGCTGCATATTTATGCAGCCACTGTTAAAAATTCAACCACAGCATTTATTTCAATGAACTCCTTTGACTACATGTTCAACAGATGCACCAAGGGACTACATAAAACATTATCTCTATTAGTTCAAATTTTCTGACTCCTTAAAAGCTTCTGGTGACTGAAGGAAAAATGCATCTATAATATGCCCCCTGCCATTACAAATACATTCATTAAAATACAAACAGCCTGACAACGCTAGGTGGGCATTAAGCACATGCACGCGCACACACAGACTAGCTTGAGTGTGACCATTTTTAAACAGCACATTATGTTTAAGACTTTACAGTTATTAACAGAACAAGAGAATATATACAAACTATCAAAACGCCACTGTAAACTGTAATGATCCCTTTTTCTAAGCACCCTTTCGTCCCAAATGCATAGCGCTGCCTGGGCCGCACCCCGATTAGACTCTGAGCGGACAGAAGGCAGGCTCGAGTTTCTGGGATCCTTGCTTGGCATGACCCTGCCGACTTCCAGCCCCAGATCTCCTCCCAGATACAGGGTTTTGTAGTACAAAATTAATGCATATGGGTTGGTGCCACCTCTTTACTGAAACCAAGTTCTCTGTCAGAGAGTTTACTAGAAGGAAGTTGCCTTTGAAAGGAGAAGAAAAGACATTCCTTTCAATGCTGTCTGTAGTGGCTATTCCCAGACACCACACAAAATATGGATCACAGCCCCTTTTCTGGAGCGCCTATGCTACTACCACACCCTGGTTATTTAGCTGTGTAGACTTACAGAAGGTGGCTGATCCTAACCACCTTGGGATCATATACAAAGAGTGCTTTTCCTGCCCTGCTGCCCAGCGTGATGGTATCTCTTTGTGACTACCAAACAGTAAGTTGTCTCGAAAGGAACCACTGTGCAAAGTCACTGTGACAGGGCTAGCTGCTACAGATGATAACCTGAGAGACCAAGGCCACCATGAGAGACAGGGCTTTGCCTAACCTCAGGGCAGTTAGGAAAGGATTCCCCAGTATG